CAATTTACGGCGATACGGCGATTGGAGAGAAGAGTTGACTGTAGCCGTGCGTGAGAGAGAGGAAATTGAGAAAGAGAACAAGAGAGTCGAGTAGAGAGAGATAGGGTATTGAGACTGAAATTATTATAGTTAGGGTTTGTTTAATTAATTTATTTTAAATACATTAATTAATTAAAAAAATTTCTGATTTGTGAAATATTAAACATTGCATTTTATTTAAGAAATGAGAATTTTTAATCTATTAGAATATGTAATTTCCACTTTGACTTATTTAAAATAAATTAATTAAAAATTTTTGAGAGATTCAATTTTATACGATTTTTTGGTTCTTGTTCTAGAACTGAGAATCGAATCAAATTCATCAGTCCTTGATTCGTACACCTTTAACGTAATTAGAAATAATAGACCTTTGATAACATCCTCCATGTCGAGATGCACCATGAGACCAATAAGTCGAGATGTCACTATAAGTTTCTTGACTTTAAAAATAATCTCTCTGAATAAATTCGGTTAATTAGAGTGAGAGTTGTATTATGGGTTCTTTAATTTTCTCTTTTCCACGCAAAATCCTAATTACAAAGGGACTTGAAGCGTTCCATCCCAATAAGACGAGAATACAGGAATTTGACTAGGCAAACTTTATCATAATTTCGTGTTTACAATATAATCAATAAGTAGTGATAATTAAAGCTAAAATGTTAATTACAAAAATAGGGATTAGTACAAAAATATCAAAACTCCTGTTCTAAATGGCGCACATTGACAACGCCTAAGCTTTGCCATGCGTGATGCGAGATGAAAACACCAAACCAAGTGGCTTGGCACCTTATTTAGCGGTCAACAACAATCATTGACCGTCTAGGCGCGGTTATATGCACCTAGGCACGCATAATTATCTTTATATATATATATTACCATTCTTTTAAGTTAAAACTTAAATGTTGATTCATTCACTTCGTCAGTTCTAAATTTAAAATAGTCGCTTGAAGTTTTGAACAAAGGAAATCTTCAAAAAATTCCTATTTAATATTTCATTTGAAAATTATCTTTTTTGTTGAAAATTTTGAAAAAATGTATAAATTCTCTATAAATTTGTTTTAGATGCTTGACAGGTATTATTTTTAATTATTAAACAATTTTTCAATTGATTAAAAAATAAAATAAAATTAAAAAAAACACATTTTTAGGTTTTTTTACGTCTCGCCTTGCCTAATCCATAGTTTGACCTCCACCCACTGGCGGAGGTAGTGGGGGGCAGCCTAGCAATGTCCCCCAACCCATATAAATTATTAAGAAATATTTTTAGAATTTTGGTCCAGATATTAGCATTAGCCCAATTCTAAATTAAATCTCAACCGAAGTTCAATGCTCACTTATTCAAATTGTATGAAAGACACTACAATTATTAATTACTCTTTTCAAGATATTCATGAAATGTAAATATTTTTTTGATCAAATTAGATATTCTATTTAATGCATGTTTGACTTAGATCTAAAAGTAAATTACTTATTTTAATAGTTAAAGACACTATCTATTTTTCTCAATTACGTATGTTTTCATTCATTACTAATTCAAAATTAAAAAAAAAATGAAGAAGAAGAAGAAGTTTACTTTGACCACAAAGTAGATATTATATCAAAATAAATAACTTACTATAAATTTGATATTGACAATAAAAAGAGTATTTGTGAAAACTTATTTATTTGTAAAGTAATTTATATCGACAATAAAAAGAATATTTGTTAAAACTTTTAATGGTTCGGAAAGCCTAGTTGTCAAAGTTATTAGAAGAGTACTCATTAAATAATTTTTTAAATGTTCATTGGTGGATATGTATTTCTACTTAATTCTATCATGATTCAGTTAGTTTAAAATAAATATTTTAGGTAAGCATCAATTTTCTCTTTGGTAAAAAAAATACAAAAAAATTAGTGGAGCATCTTAATGTGAGACATCTAAACCTTTTTTTTTTTTTTTTTTTTTTTTAATTTTCGTATATTTTTTGGGATATCAAACGAAGTAGAAGTATTACGTTCTTAATATCATTTTTTTTTTCATTAAGTATCGTATACTTTTTATCTTGAATCTCACGAAAATAGCCCCCAAAACTTGATTTCTTGTGGCGTAAGTTCATTCAAAATTTTTAAATTTTAGCTCATCCTAATATCATTTTCTGACTTCGCCCCTGCTTCCACCCATCACTATGCATTAAGTTTTTTAGAATACTAAACAACATATATTTGGTCGACCTGGGGAGTTTTTCCAATTCAATTTGGACGACTTTATAACCTAATTCATTCAAGCAAGAAATGTATTTAAATATTAATAATCAAACTTTCGATTTTCTTATGAACGAATTATGATCATGTGAACCGTTTTAATGCAAAAGTCAAACTCCACGGGAGGAGAATGAGTCAACACAATAATTTGTGGTTTATAATTAAACAAATTGGTAATGTGAGATCCCTTCATCATTAAGTTCTTTTGATTAACAACTTAAGTTCCACGTATTGCTTTCCACCATTTTTAATCGAATTATTTAATTGTATATACGAAAATTTTCAAAACGACGCTTTCATGCAAAATTACTAATATTTATTCTCTATAATTTATAATTGACTATACAAATTATTTCTTGTTACTTTGTCTAATTGACATAGAATTTTATTCATGCTATAGATAATATTCCTCTTGAACGAGGCATCACATACATTTAAGTCCTTGTTTACCAACCATTCTACCACGTTATTTTTTCTTAGTATTAATTTTCAACCACACATTTTTCATTAAAATAATATTACACATAAATAAATAAAAATTCTTTATTTTTTAACCATACATTTCAACATCAATCACTATTCCATAATACATTTTTTAAAATTAAAGGGGCACAAACAAGCCCTAAAAGATCTGTTTGATTTGGAGGCTCATTTACGAAAACTGATAAAGTTGGAACATTCTTACTCGCAAGTTGAAAGATTTCAGACCTCTCACTAACCTTCGGCTACAAACTTCTTTAAATTTTTTTAGCAACAATAGACAAAATAAAGTGATCTCCAATAATATATGCTCCTCCAAGAAAGCGGTTGCCTTCTGCTTGACATGATCAAGGCCGACAACATATTGATTAGTTCCATTACTCCTTTAATTGTAAAATGGTATTTCCATCTCTTATTCATATTTCAATCAAAAACTTTATTTAGTGATAATCTATGCTTTAGTGTTCCTCAAACTATGAAAGGTCATACGCTCTATTAGGATACAACTCTTTCAATATAGCGTTAGGGCCACAACTTGCGTAGATACAACTATCTTGAAAGTCCACATTGAAATTTTTTCAGCTACAACCTTAAATCGAGAACCACCTCATAGGTTTGGTTGCAACATTGATTTACATTGTGGACCCATATAGTTAAATTTAGAGTAGAACTCTAATACCACTTGTTAAGACTTAGAGTTTCATCCTTGTATAAATTCATCGTCAACATTATATCACCTCGATATAAAATTTTGATTTTTAATGCATGTACAGAGAAGGAGTTTATAAAAGGGAAGTGCTACATGTACATAATTGTCTACATAATAGTATACATAATTACATGTGGCACTAGATTCAACATTTAATTCAAATCTCACACTTTCACATCAACAACAAGATGCCACATCACATTATGGACAACATTATGTGCAATAATTATGTACATGTGAGTAAAATATTGCCAAAAAATAGTCACTTACACCCACCCACCCATTGTGTGTGATCTAGACGGGTTCTGAACCCCTCCCTATTCGTGTAGTGCAGCTCTAAAACCTTTTACCCATATTTTCTCTAACGCTTTTGGCAAATGTACCCTCCATTTAGTGATTCTTCTCATTAATGGCGCAGCCACATATTGTCATATGGGGTTCATTGACCCACAAAAATTTGGACTTCTGAATTTATTTTTTCTTTTACCTATTTGCTATTTCCAAAATTAAATTTCTCATTTGAACACCATGGACAACTTTCATTAGAAGACCCATATTTGAAAAAGCCAATTGATTCTCATTCCACCCCAATATCTGAATTTTGTTAGTTCCATAAAATCTCAGTTACATCACATAGCTCATCGATGCATACAATAGTCACAAATATTTATCCCCTAAACCAATCTCAAGCCTCAACCCACTTTTAGTATTATGTTATTTTTAAAAAATTATAACTTAATTTTTTTGATCCCACAATGAAAAATACATAACTCCCCCAAATATTGTCTCCTATGCATATTATGTGTTTGTTTGGTAGAGATTTTGTTAATTGATTTTTTGATCGTTAGAAATAAAATGGGTCCTACCTGAAAGAGAAGAATTCAAAAATGACGGTTGAAATAGTGAAGTAACGGTCAAAAAATTGATTTTAATATTGACTTAAAATCTCTGAACCTGTTTGGGAGTGATATTTCACCACAAAAAAATGATTTTTTTTATCTTTATTTCACTATTTTAGACGTCATTTTTTATTCCTTCTTTTACAGGTGGCCTTCCTTTTTTCCTAACAGTCAAAAAATGCCTTCCTTTTCTCCTAACAGTCAAAAAATCAATTATCAAAATAAGCTCTATATAGCCCAGTTCAAAACTTTAAAGAATAATATTTCACTTGATTCTAAATCCATGCTGGAAACAACGTTTTGTCTTTAGCTTAAGTCTAATTTACGTGATGCTTTGTATCAAATAAAATAACAAGAAAATGCTAGAAATTTTATTTTACATATTTTCCAAAGATATAGTAGTGATTAAACTAATGCCATGATATGACCAGATCATCAAAATCTAATAAAACGCCACCATTTTAGGTAATTTACCCTTACCTCTAGGTACTAGTGGTATTATGCCCCGTTTGAGCCACATTATTATAAAAATGAGAATGAAAAATATAGTCGTTATGAACTCTATATAATAGTCAAATATTGATGGATAACGATCATATTTTTCATTTTAATAAAAAAATAATGGGGATCAAACAGGCCGCATTTATTATGCAGACTTGAACTTTTGCCTTCTGATTCAAACAAAAACACGTTGAAGAAACTTCATCCACTCTCAATCTCCATCCAGGTATATAGAAACTGTTTACTCAATATCGTCATCCCCAAAACACGAAAAAATGCAGAAATCAGAAGAATTAGGGCAGAAAGAAAAGCAATCAGAGATTACCAAGCGGCCTCCAATTTGGGATTGTGGAAGCTCACTGTATGATTCCTTCGAGAGGAAAGCATTTGAAAAACAACTCGATTCCGCTATATCTTCGAGAACGCTCTCGATGCCGCATTTATCTGATCGCCACCTTGAACTGCCGCCGCAAATTTCGAACAAAAAAAGTTCGAAATTATCACGGTCTTTTCACAAGCTACTCCGATCTGTTTTCAGGCCGAAGCAGAACAAATCAGGCCAAGGGTTTTATGTTGCTTATGATACACCCAGTACACTTTCTACGATTCCAGAGGCACCGGAATTCGACAGACTTTCGCCGGAAATAAGGTCTTTGGTAAGAAGAACAGCCTCCGATAGATTCACGGCGACTTCTGTCGAGATTTATTGTGCCTGAAAATTGTACAATTCTATGACTAGAATTTTAATATTTTTCTTATTTTATCGTGTCCGGTGTTATGTATTACTATATGCAAACATATTATCAGCGCATGCAAAATCATTAATTTACGGCTTAATTAATGTAATGAATAAGTTTTATTTAGCCGTTTATTAACCATTATATATTTTATATTGGATTCAAATTTTTTGGTTTGAATAAGTTAGAAAATAGATCTCATTTTGACAATTATTTGTGAACAAACTATTTATTCAAAGTTGATTGGGTAAGTTAAGGGATCTTAGTCTTTTTGTTGTCGATAAAAATCCGAAATTAGTTCTATCTTCTTACGTAATTTCTCAAACTCTTATGCCAATTATTAAATGTCAGAAGACGACATTATCGTCTAAAAATAAAAAGAAAAAAAAGGGATAGTCGAGCTATGCAATCGACGGATTACAAGAGAGGTTCATACAATCTATGTTGAGCAGGCACAACTAAATCTTTTAACTACTTACAAATTTATCACACGACTCTTATTTAATCATACCAAAAATTCTAGGTCTATTAAGCATGTTTTAATAGCATGTTTGATGTTCAGTATGTGACGTGACAATGAATAAAACTTTAGATTTCTTAAAATACTGTTTAGTAAGGTTCAATCGAATTTGAAATAAATGCCATTAGTGTTTAGAAGAGTGTGGTGTTTAGCAATTTTAGCAACTTGGAGTTTTAGTTATGTGTGGCATTCTTTCATGTCACCTTTGTTTCTGATATGCCATGAAACCAACGGCAAGGCAAGTAGACTTTTATGGTAGCAATCAATATAATATGAATTGTTAACATAAGACTAAATTCGGCAAGATTAGCGGTGTAAAATATGTTCGACCCGTTTAACATAATTAAGTTTTATATAAAACGAGATCATATCTAACTATAAGAAAATAAAACTCAATACAAGTTAGGCATGTGTTGAGTCATGTCATTGAATTACGTTTTCAATGGAGAAAATCAGGGACGGATCCAGGATTAAATTTAAGACTGGACTACAAAATTTTCAAGCCGGGCTAATACGCAAAAAACCAAAATTTTACACATAAAAAGCTGATTTTACAAAAAAAAAAAAAAAAAAAAAAATAAAAGGTTTTTAAAAAAAAAAAAAAAAAAAAAAAAATGAAAATTGCCTTACAATTTTTTTTTTCTTGGGTTTTGGGGGGTGGGGGGGGGAGGGGTTACAGCCCTGCCCAATCCCCCCCTGTATCCGTCCATGGAGAAAATTAATGTTAGCTCAGAGCTCTTCAATCTTTTATGTGATACCATTATTTCTAACCTTCAAAAGTGAGGTTCTGGATCCCCAATTTAAATAAATTTGTGAATCTACGTCTTCAAACGACGAAAACCATAAATTTACAAGGTGGTTTGATCTTTGTCATCTAATTTTAAGTAATGTAAAAGTTACGTATATGAATAGAATTCAATTTTCCATTTATAACGTGATGGCGTGTAATACAATTATATAAACATCACTATTAAGAATTGAAAGACATGATTATTCTATGTATGGACATTTAGCTAGCCACATTAACTTCCATATTGTCCAAGCAAAACATGCAGTGAATGATTTCAAATTTTGTGTCGGAATTGTCATCAATGATCAAATTGAAAAAAAATAAAAATAAAAAGGAAAATAAAAATGTTATGGTACGAACGTGAATGATAGGCAGACAACCAAAGCCACTTGAATGTGCACATTTATGAATACAACCACCGTCTGAGTAAGGGGAATTTATTTAGCCCCCATTTGTTTCTCATTTTTTTTTCATTAAAATGAAAAATATGATCGTTATCCATCACATCAGGCCACTAAATTTGAATTTTTATCTCTTGTGTTGGCCCATAACGACTATATTTTTTATTTTCATTTTTACAAAAATGAGAAACAAAAGTACCCTTAAATTTATTCAAATATTATATGCCTTTCTTTTTATGCTACTACGATTCAACGTAGATAAAAATTTCAATTTCAAATCTTTCCGATGCTATTTGTAAAGTGGATTGAGGGCGTTATTGATTACTTGTTAAAGGACATAGTTTACGAAAATTGTGTGCATGTTGCACTTCTTACAAAAATAAATAAATTCTTTGTTTGGCCTCACAAGCTTTCGGATTTGGACGATAATGTTAGATACCAAAAAAAATTGTTTGAATGGAACATGACCAACAAAGACCAAGTTAAGGTCTCCCAAGTCTCCGAAGACTAGTGACAAAACGGTTTGACATGTCTTCTCGTATCTGCAGTGCCTTGCAACTCTTAGTTTGAGGTTGGGAATGGTCGATGAAAGTTTAATTTTTCTTTTCTATTTTTATTGGAAAACATGGATAATCTTAATTATCATTTGACTATGACTTTTAATTGCAACAAAAATGAAAATTGTTTGCCAATGTCAAATCCCCAAAATTACCATGGAAATATGTCGAGCTGGATGTCAACTAAGATATGGTCTTAATCGAGAAAACTCAAAAGCATCACCTATCCAACTCACATCTTAGGGAGCTCAGTCGTGTGAGGTTCGACTTCTTAAAACTAATGTCGCAAAATATTTAGTATTAAGGTCAAAAATAATAATCCTACATTCCACGCTCCAAGTACAAGTTGGAGAGCAAAATAATTGATTACTGAAGTAGCTGAATCAAAGTAATGATCGCTTAACAGAATTTACCAAGTAAACATTCAATACCAATTGGCCACTTTTATCAACACGCTTGATTACACAACCAAACTCAATGTCTATCATAGATGCAATGATTACCTTGACATTCTGTTCACTTCAACTAATAAGAACCAAGAAAGGCACTTGATTGGCCAAGTCCTCATGCCATATCACAATTGGTTAAAATGATTGGCTCTCAAATATACATTTGAACTTTGACATATTTCGAGCTCAATAACTCAATTATCAAAGAGTTTTCGAGTTTCAACAATTGCATAAACCATCTTTCTAACGATTAATTACATTCACTGTCTTCTTTCATTTTACGGGAAGTAGGGTTTGGAATTCTTGGACATTGATCAAATATTTGCATTAATAAAATCTGTGAATGACCAAACCTTGATATCATCCACTACAAGCAACAATAGTAACGACAATCAGTCTATGGACGATGAGAATCCCATAAGAATGGTGATTGACATGGTCCATGAGACTCAAAGAAAGGTGGAAGAAAATTCATAGAAGACCAAATGAATTGATAAAAATGGGAGTTTGGGATCACTAACCAAAGCAAAGAGAGAAATGAAGTCAAAGGATTCTAAGTACAAGTTGGGGACTGGTTCCGCATACAAGATTAGTTCTTTGTTCAATTTACTTGTTGCCATTCTGAATGATGCATGGTGATTTGACATTTATTGGATCGTCAAGCATCAAAATTTGCTAGTAGGATATCATGTTCCATGTGGAGGGACCCTGGGGGTGCTTTTATTACCTTGATTATTTTTGTCATCTAATTTTACAACTTCTGTTGCAATTCTTCAATGTTATTAGGTTCCATTTGCCATTTAATAAATATTGGGGTTTTTCATAATTATTTCATACTTTCATGACATTTGATAATAAAGTTGAGTACCTGTGATCTTAACTTTGGAGAAGCGAGTATATGAAAAATGCTATATTGCGCATCAAAGGTTTAAGAAGAAGCCACCAAAAAAGGGTCTATTTTTTAGGAACGTTAACATTTCCCTCGAAATAACAACGCCTAAGCATTGCACAGGCAATAGACTAGTAGTAAGAAAAGTGCAAACAAATCATTAAAGCATCCCACCCAAATCGTAAAACTACTACATCAATCCCATTTGCCACAAACTACCATCCAAATACGAACACCTTTGTTGCCAAACACTTCATTGTGTGTTGGCAACACTCCCTCCTTCTCATACAACCATTCACCGGCGTCGTCATTTACGAGGAAAATCAATGCTTGAGAGTTGGGAAAACGAAGCATGTAACTTCGATTCTTCATCTCAAATTAGTAAGATGGTACCTGCAATGAATTTTGGAGTGGTTGTTGCAATGACTTTCGATGGAATGTTTCTAGTCGTTTGTGCATGCGGTACTGTTAGTGATTGTGGTGGTTGATGGCTACCCCAGAGTGAGGACCCACGTGATTTTGACGCGAATGGAGATAGTGTTGGTCACAAGTAGTCACTAGGGATTTTACTAAGGTTTGACTAAAATTAGATTTGGGTTTTCCGTGGGCTTCTCTACATTTGATTAGTGTTGGTGATGGTGGCAATGAGATCCAAAGTATGGGCAATTATATTTATGTCACAATTTTTGTTTGCTACATTATATTTAATGGTTATGCCACTTTGACAGAAGGTGATTAACAGATGGAATGACGTAATGTAATTTGGCAATATATGATTGGATAAAAAAGTTGATTGTATTTAAAACAATTCAACGATGAAGTGTCATATGACATTATGTCAACTATTATGTCGGTGATTGTGTCAATATAGCATGATTCTATTTTAATTGTAATGAAGGTTTTCAATACTTATGTCCTCAACTTTTTTATCTTATTTGATCCTTAAATTAATAGTATTTATTTTGTTCCCAACAACGTTTTTTTGCCCAAAATACGGTGCAACAAACAAAAATTATAGTGTGAATAAACTTTCGGGCCGACAAGGAATGAGATGTTGTGGTGGTGGGAACGAGCTGTGGATAAATGTTACACAACAACTAACACAAATCGTTGCGAAGGCCACCAAATTCAGATGAGTGCAACACCAATTCATCGACAAATGGGGTGCTGGTAGCGAAGGTGAATGATTGTAAGTGTGTAACATATAGTATATTACAGGTGGGGCAAGGTTCGACTACGACGGGTTGGTATGGAGTGTGGGTGCGGGTGGTGGAATTTAATCCGATGGTAAATGACTGTAAAATAGTATGATATAATAACACAATATTTTTATAATAATTAAGAAAATTAATTTATGTTTAAATTACTTTATTTTATTGTAATCTTCCATTCTATTTTTCAGCGAAAGAGATTAAAGTTCATTTTTGCTATTGATAGTGTACGCCTTGTGTTATATATAACAGGCCCAGCCATTTAAATGGTAATTTTCGTAGGCCTTTCAGTACATATACAAGCGAACGGCGCTCCTCCAATATGAGGAGTCGGACACCCTTATGTACTTGGTGATATCCACCAAGAATAATTCGACACACAAACACCCCCCCCCCCCCCCCCTCCACCACAAATTTCCATCTTCAACCAGTCGTGTCACTGGATATAAATAGGCTGACAACTGTAATCAACATATTTTTCTACATGGATGCAGGTTATATCAATTTCACAAGATGAATTATGCCTTTGTAAATAGGTTGAGCTGTTCAGAAGGGGTAGAAAATTGGCACTTGCATTTTTATGATATGAAATAGGCATTGAATGATACAAATTATAACCCATTGCTGCCTTTAACTTACAAATTAGCATGGGGAGATTACCATGATTTTCATAATGGATACTTATCTTCCTATAAAAAAAATCTTGATACAGAGATCTTCATTTACTGGACTATCTCAACCTGTTTGTACAATTAAACTAAATGTTGTTAAACATAACCCCTTCAACCTTAAATTCATTATCGAATTACAATATATAAAAACGTGTCGTGATTTTCTAAGGAGATGACTTTCATTCCTGAATTTACTTCCTGCACAGGTGGCTGCATATTCAGATGGACAAGTGAAAATCTTTGAGCTTCTAGATCCACTTGAATTGGAGAAGTGGCAACTACAGGTGTTTTATCATTCATTTATTTGAATATGTAATGCTGCTGCTTAACTGAATCATCCGTTGGCATACCTGTGTAAGCTGGAGATGAAGTGTAGCATGACACATAATATAAAGATTTCAGACATGTATCATCATTGTTACAATTCTTGTTCTCTTAAAGTGATTTTGTGTTCACAAGTTCCTACCTGTAATATGTCCTGAGATCTCTTCTTTTTTACACATATTGTGCATCATTTTCTCCCATTTTCAATGCAATTGAACCTGTACAATATCAAAAGTAACAAGAAGCATGTTTTTCATTCTGTCTTCACCAAATTAGCTCCCATGATATGTAAATGCCAGTGATGAGGCTAATGTAATCCTGGTCGTTGAGCTTCATCTGGGTTGTGCTTTAACTGATATTGCCACTTGAACTGCTTATGATGTATGGCAGTAAGCCATCAATGCATAATTAATCTTCATAATTGACTACTGATGGATAGAAATCACGAGAATTTTTATTTTTTTTTCCTCGAATTTTTCATTGAGAGGTATTCATATTAAAAAAAACTTAATCTAATGCAAAACCAAAATAGTCGGAGGACTCTTCTGACAAAATAAAAAATATGTAATTGTCAGCAAAGTTGTTTCTTTTTATACTAGAGAACCACAATATATGTTTTAACCTTTTAGGTACTTGGATTTTCCTGTAATTCACCATTGATGGAACACTGGTCTTCCTGCTTTGCACGAGGAATATTTTTCAGCATTAAATAAGTTTTATTTTTGAAATATTTGTAGGCTGAATTTCAAAACGTAATTGATTTTGTATCTAAGTTTGGGAATGTTTCATGCTCGTCTGCGTCCATCTCTTGGAATCCACAAAGAGGTGAACTCCAGCAGTCAAGCTTTATCTTGGGCTTCAGCTCAAATAGCCCGCTTCTAAATTCCTCCAAGGTATATATTTAGATCCTCTCTCTAATTATGAAAGTGTTAAATTATTTATAATTAATAAGGCACTGTACCTTTTGGGTAATACATTTTGCGACTAGCATGCATATTTTTGTTTCAGTTTTCCATGGTTTGATGGTTGGCCCTTCTATGGATACAAAAATACTTGATTTACTACAACATGCTTAAGTTATCACGTTTTATATTCCAATAAATAATAACAGCCTCTCATCTAGTAGTTTTTTAAGATTTGTGCAATGTATGGAAGCTCATTTATGATGTACTTATATTATAGATTTCAATAGGTTTGGGAGTTTGACCAGGATCATCAAAGATGGCTTCCAGTTGCTGAACTTGCTTCGCCAGAGGATAAGAATGATCAAGTTTTTGCAGTTGCATGGTCACCAAATATTGGAAGGTAGCACAGATATCGACTTTCCCCTTTTCTCCCTTTACCTCGTAAGTTTTTTGGGGAAAAATTAACTTGAAAAATGCTGCTTAGGAGAGCTTGAAACAGAAGGATTTCTTACTTCCCTTCATATGACTTCCCATTTAACGTTTATCAAGTAGGAACTTTTAAATTGTCAAAGCAACGAAAGGTAGGTCACATCTGCACATAGAAGAAGGATTTGATGTTTTTACATTTATTCGCAAAAGAGCTATTTTTCTTATCCAATGCCCCTGGCGGCTGTTGTAGAGCGGGCTAACCACAGTCTAAGAAGAATACACTCTCAAAACACGTTGAATTTGGCTTAAATTGCAGACGTGAAGTTAATGAAGAAGATGGAGTACTGTAATACTGCTCGATGCAAGAAGTCTGTCTAATACAATGAATATTGTCGGACGATCCAAGCGTAGGCTTGTTGAACTAATTGTTACTTTGTTTTCATTATTTCATGAATTTCAGGCCATATGAATTGATAGCTGTTGCCACTAACAAGGGCATAGCCATCTGGCACCTTGGTACAAACCCTGATTCAAACGGGAGGCTCTTTACGGAGAAGGTTGCTGTTCTATCTGGTCATGATGGCGAGGTATCAAATTCCCCCACCATTTCATGTACTTGCTAGAAGAGGCTTATTTGCTATCTAATGGCTGATTGAAAGTGAAAATTGTTAAATTTAAAAAGAAATAGTCACCACTCATATTGATCTGTTACCTCTGAATTTTGAACACAGTATTTACATGACGGACACTCTAGTTTGTGTTTATACTATGCAAAGACTCAAATTACCTTTTCTTTCGACATAGATTAGTAAATTTTTGTTTACATGTCCAGATAGATTATTCTCTTCTTACTTAAGTGAAAAAAATTACTTCTTTTGATAGTAAGATACGTGTTACTTCAAAACAAATAATTTATTTCCAACTTTGATCATTAAAAAAATTATTTACTAGGAAGTAAACTCACTTATAAATAAAATTATCAAACTTATCAAACCATGCTATTAATTATGGTGAAACAGAGTTGAATACTAAACCTAGTTTGTAAATGCAATGGCCTAATGGGGACATCTAATATATTATTTTGCTCTACAGGTATGGCAGATGGAATGGGACATGAGCGGGATGACGTTAGCCTCTACTGGGAGTGATGGCATGGTTAAGTTATGGCAGTCAGACTTAAACGGCATTTGGCATGATCAAGCCATTTTAGCGCCTGTCTTTCCTGAACAGTGACCCGTTTTCCTCACACAGGAAAAAGAACTTACCGTGTTCACGCTTGACATTAGGGCTTCTTTGTGTAACTTTCTGGTGACATGATTATATTTCTTTCTATGAATTTGGAACGTGGAATTTTGAGATTAGTTTATACTAATCCAAGCATCTATTTTTAAATGGTCATCCTATTTCGAATAATGATTCTTGAACAAGGGATGTTGACTGGGGTGGGGTGGGGTGACGGTGAGGTGGCAGCACCTCATCCTGTGTTGTTTTTTTTTTTCTTTTTTCCAAACTGTCCAAATATGTTTTAACACGTTGCTCTTTGTTTTTGAGTCTGTTATTGAATCTATCACTGTAGCAAGATTGTCTTATTTCAATTGTTTGGTCTAGAAATTTGGACTAGTAACAGCGTGGCTCTCTAGCTAACTTGTCAAAATATTGTTTCGTAACAGTCGTGTGAATCGTAAGTACCAAGCTACATTAGGTACACTCAAAGGAGACCCCTGAGAAACAATTCCATTATTGGAAATGTAGTGCACATCGAGGAAATGTCCGGTATGACATTGAAATTTTCAATGCACTTCGACATTTTCAGTACAAGGGTACAAGTGAAGCTGCTATATAGAGCCACAGCTGATTCGTGCCTGAGATCACAAATTGTTAATGAGACTCATTTACACAGCTTCATTGGGGTCGGCTTCTGTGCTCAAAGAAGATGGGACTGGCTTCTGGCTTCAAACTTTCATATACTTGCAGAAATCAAAATAAGTTGGTACGTACTCATTTCTCATTCTCTATTAGGGCTGTATCCCCTTTTTTAGGCTCAACTCAGTTTTTTCCAAATCATTAGCACTGGCTGAATCAGTTACAATTTATGGATTTGTACTTTTTATCAACTTTTCAATCATGCATTTCTTTTCCTTTTCTTGACCCTTCAAAATGTGACTCTGACATAGCCAACAGGTCCCAATACCTCTCACGTCCCCGAAAGCCTATTTCTACACATTAAGACAAACCGTTAGTGACATGCGGCCTCCTCCGACAAGGGGTGGTGTTGGCCGCACGCACTATGACAGTCAAGTCATTTTTGCTGTTCAATATGGGTGCGAGAGGGCTTTCAATGTGAGCCCCCGTAATCACAAGAAAGAAAAAAGGGGGTCGGTATTGGGTAAAATATGTTTATAGAAAGGTAAGTTTGTTCTCCTAAAATTGCATTATTTTCATATGACATTAAGTGTGAGCTTTTATAGTGTAAAAAAGTGAGACGACCGTTGGATGGAGGGACACATGGCTTCATCTTGGTGGTTACCACTTGCCAACGCAAGCGTCAGTAAACGATGGGCTATCATTGTCACTATTATTCACTACCTAGCGTAAGGATGTGGACTTGACTAGATAGGTTGGCAACGACGGCAGTGGCAGAGACATCACGTCAATCACATCAAATGATTACCTGGGAGATTTGGTGTTGGGGTTGTTTGCGGCTTAGCCTTGGTACGCTTAGGTCGTTGTTTGCTAGGGTCATACATGGGCTTGGACTCACGAGGGCCTGACGCTGATGGGCTCGGACACGTATCTTATATAGTGGCTCCTTGCTGACTTGGAGGTTCACAGCTTGGACGGCTATAAAATCTTTATTAAAATCTATTAAAAATCCGACTTTATACTGCATCAAACAAGGCAAAAAGTTTGAAGGGTAGATTTAGTAAAATTAAAGCATATACAGTGTAAGAAGACACGATCCTTTTGTCCATTGACCAATTCATTACACAATGTGGTATTTTGACTCACCAGATCATTTGCACGATCAGCTACCAAAGATTGTCAATAGGACACACCTTCATGGAAGACGCGTTAGGAAAGTTTATAAAATATAAATCAACTCTGGTAGGTTGAAAGACCTTTTACTTTGGGGAAGGAATAAAACAAAAATAAACTTGAATTCAAGTTAGCTATTTGACAATAGTTGTTTTTGAAGTCTCAATATGATAGATAAGAGTGTGGGAATGAAGGAATACAACTTCATACCATCAAAATAATATGTAGAATGAGTCATATTTATCAATGCCTCCTCCAATTCTAATTGAATATGTTTGGTAAAAGTATTCGTATAAGTAAATAAATTGTGTAGTAAATAAGCAATTTATTAATTTTAACGGATAGTTGCTTTTAGAAAAAGTAGCTTTTTATTTACTTAAAGGAAGAAAATAGTAATATATTGAAAAACACCCAGATTCCTCTTTGAAAAACCTTCTAGTTCTATTTCCATTGCCTCATACACATTATCGACCTAAAGTACTATGGTGCCATTGAGAGTTACAGCTACGCTTCTCTGCCAGAGATGCCTGTGATTTTGTCTTTATGGCTGGAGGATCGATGTCATCCACAATGCTTTATATTGCATCGCTTATTCTTGCAAATAATAGGTGCTTCAACGATCACCATATTCATTATTGATTTACTTATATCAGTGTCTACTATCATGACACAACTAGAGCCAAATGGTGGCTTTACGAATGAAATTTAAGTATCGTTCATAGGGCCCTCTTTAATCCCCTTTCACGATTGTCATTCCGACCCCGACGGGGAACTTCATGGTGAGGTGATGTATTGAAGTCATGCCTTTCAACTTTCAACATCCGCCTCTTGAGCATCGCATTGTAGGTCAACAGTTTTGGGGGCATTCTCTAGAATTACTAAGTTATCTTTTCGATTGATATGAAAATTTCTTCCTTGAATCTGTAAGTGGATCCGAAGATAATATTGGCCAAACTAATAATATTGATCAATATTTCTTCATATCATTCCTCAATATTTTAGCCTCTTCGTAAAGCATGTACCATTGGAAGTCGAGGAAATAAGGGTAAAGGGCCATTTGAAATGCCCATTTTTCCACTTTGGCCTTTGACCAAGTAATAGCATTAAAAAAATAATAATAATAAAAATAAAAATAAAACTTCGGGAGCAAAAACTCGAAAATACCCCTAAAACCCAAGAAGGAAATTCACTTTCGATCCTCCCCTGCAAACAGTCTCAAACAACCGCATCTAATAGTCTTATCGACCACCCACCAACCGCTGACACCACTGTTTAACCACATCGGCGACACCACCATTAAATGTTAGCTTTTGTATTCATGGAATGGATTGAACTTGTGAATGAATGGAAATTTATTTACATTTATATGTATAGATGCATGGTTAGGTTAAAATGTGGAAGAATTTTTGTGGTTCTTAGCCTAATTTGATAGCTCAGACTGCGCTGTTAAAAGTCTACCGAAGATTGTTAACAGTCTCGGTCCGATTGTTAACAACAGTTAGCCCAAGACTGTTTGGGCCCTTTTTTTCATTTTATTAATTTAATATATTAATTATTTTTTAAAATCGAAAATTAACAAATAAATTAAATTGTTTACATGAATTCATTAACATAAATTTAATCTTATATTAAAAATAAAATATAATTATTTTATATTTATATTTATATTAAAAATTCATTTATAAATTTGTTAATTTAATTCTCTTTTTTTCTTATTTTAATTAAAAAATTATTTTTTAAAAAATATTTAAATTTTCAATTGTAATTGAATAATATGTATATTATTTATATAATTTCCTTTTGTTTAATTTTAATTTTAAATATCATTATTTTTCTTTTTGGTAATAGGGTTAAAAAAAATTCTCAATTGTTTTATTCTTATTATAATTTACTTATTAAAATACATTTTAATATTTTTTGCATTATTTTTATAGTTTTTATATTTTCTGAAATTATTTTGTTTAATTTAATATGCACTGTTAATTTGTATGTGTTTTTTTTAGTTTTTCTTTACCTTTTTTAGTATGTCATTTTTCTAAATCATTTGTTAGATGTTAATTAGATAAATCTACATGTTAACAATTTGATTCGATTAATGTTCCGTTACTATGTTTTATTCCATTGTTCATTGTACAATGTTCTAACATTCGATTTTTTTATAGGATGTATTACCATCTACACACAGAGTTGAGGCAGATACCGGGGAAAGCTATATGGAATAGTAGCTTTGACGGTTTTACTACAGTACTGGAGTTGCTGGATGATCAGCACATGAATAACTTATGCCAGTCCTTCCTTTGGCCCCTGTATCAGTTAAGAGAGGCGCAGTACTCGAGGCAAATCATTGACACACTGCCATGTCGGTTGTTGAGTCCGGTTCGACGGCGATGCCCTCCACTTCGACCTCGGGGGCAAGATCGCCAATTTCTCTATGTTCGAGTTTGCCCTGATCACTGGACTGAAGATTACAAGCGATGAGCCAGCTCATAACAGTACTCAAAGAGGCAACATGCTGCATGGCAGTTACTTCCATGGACAGGGAGCAGTACTTCTACCGCAGCTGATCGAAGCGATGAGGGGGTGTAACCAGATATTAGACAAACTAAAGTTAGGTCTAATATACATCCTTGAGTTCGTAGTGTAGTGTCACCACAAGAAGACTGCGATCGACCTTTTCCATCTGGAGATCGTCGATGACATCGATGGTTTCAAAAATTATCCATGGGGCTGGAAATGTTTCGAGGACACCGTACACCTCTTCATCAGATCGCACTCAAAGCCCAAGGGGCCCATGCGCAAGTATGATGCCTACGGATTGCCTCTGGCGGTGCAGGTATATGTTTATATAATCAACGTCAAAATATTTATACTATTGAATTTACATATAATAATTGTATGTATTACAGATTTTGCCGTATGAGATTGTCCCCCTACTCGGTGCTCGCTTTGTGAAGCGACTGGAGACACGATACCCACGAATGCATCACTGGTGAGCATCATGAGCGGACGAGTGTCCGTCTGGAAGACTGTTATTGACTATTCTCGACGACCTTTATGTGAGTATTATGTACTTTGTAATTTATATTATACGTAGTTTAAAATCTCATTGCGCAATCGTTAACTGGTTGAAATGTCAATATGTCAGGTTGAAGTCATAACTGAGTTGAGACTATCGATGGAGGAGAAGGGCTGAGGACTGATGCATGAATTTCATATAATTTATTGATTATATTTTTTTATGAGTAAACAATTATTAATTAAGTTAATAATTTGTAATATTATTTGTGTAGGAGCACGGTCCAGTTGATCGACGATCACCTCCGTCGAGGGCATCTCCTCCGTCGATGACATTACCTCTGTCGAGGGCATCACCTTCT